TTCTGCAGATGAGAAGCCGAGGCTCCGGGAAGGAGGCGGCCAGTGTCAGCCCGTCTTGTCCCTCAGTCCCCTCACTCACTCCTGCAGCAGGCATGTGTGGACGTGGACGGTGACACGCTGACGCCACATTTGGATGCAATAGCCTCCCTCCCAGCCTCTTCCCCATCGAGTCAAGGGCTGCGGGGTGGAGCTCAACCCCAATCCCGCCCGCCACTCACCGCTGTTCCTGGCCGCAGGGACCCCTCTTTCCTTGGCTCAGCCCCAGATGCGCCCTGGGGGTGCCCCTTGCTGTTCTGCAGGGAGGCGCTCTCCTGAAAGATGGGGAAGCCAGGGTACCTGTGCGAAGCAGGGCATCGGGCGTCCCCTTCTGGGTTCCCACATGTCCGAGTCTGGCACTGGGATGACCTGGAGTTCTGGGACATGGTCGATGACGTCCTATCAGCTGTGGTGTGGCTGTGTGGCTTTTCCGAATGCTGCCTGTCCATGTTGGGGTGCGGTTTGGAGAATCCACAGGCCCCAGCCTCCAGCTCTGTCCTCATGCCCGGTGGGGCAGCCCTATCTCTGTGTCTCCCCTTCCCCCGCCCCAGCGGGCCCTGACCTCACCCCTGAGGTCACAATGGTTCCAGTTCTCGGGGCGTTTCCCAGGGCCAGTGTTGTGGAACCGGACACTGTCCTGGGCACAGTACGTGTGTATTCCTGATGTGGCCTTGGCTCAGCCCTTCTGTTTCTGGCTTGTGAGGAACCCTGAGACCAAAGACCCAGCTAACCCAAGCCTGCATTCCTGACCTAAGAAACCATGAGATAGTAACTGTGTGTTGTTTTAAGCCACTAAGTTTTGGGGTCATTTGTTACGCAGCACCAGATATCTGATACACGCTCTGTACCAGGGAAAAGTGGCAGAATTAGGTTCTTTATGAGCTCCCCTCCCACAGGGCCATAGTCCAGATGCAAGGCTGCAGAGAAAGCGGGTCCCAGCATGGCCCCTTGTCCCCATACTTGGCTGTTGGAGGCTCTACAGGTGGGGTTCATGAGTGGGGGGCTGAGGGTGAGGATGTCGCAGGGTCAAGGGAGTGCTGGGGCCGGGACCCGCTGCTGGGCAGCTCCCTGCAGCCCCATGAGCATCTCCCTCTGCCCAGCCAGGCCCTGGGCTCCAGCACCTGTGGCCACACTGTGCAGTCAGCCCTGCCTTCTGTAAACAGCCATGTGTCTTCACAGACAACAGACAACCACTGCTCACCCCTGAGGCCACGGGGGCCCCTGGGGTTCAAATTCCAGCTTTGGCACTGCTGGCTGGATGACCTCTGTGCAGCTGTGACCTCTTTCTAAACAGGGGCTGGCAATGCCTGCCCTCCCCCAGGTGGTTCTGACATTCAGTCTGCTTTTCTGTGAGCGGTGCTTGGTGCAGGACAGGTGCCCAACATGGCATAGCTGCTGGGCATTGTGGGCACCTTCACTGGGTCTGCCTGGGGTTAAACCTCACACCACTCCCATGGGATGGGTGTCTGGATTCTCTGCAGGTGGCAGGGGAGGAGACAGGCTGGCAGAGGGCGAGGTGAGTTAGGGCAATGGTAGGTTCATCGAGACCTCTGCAGGTCCCCGGCACTCTCTGAGCTTGTCACCTTGAGTCCTACACCTGACCACAAGCCCAGGTGGTGGAAGCTGTGATTCTCCCCAGGGCTCAGAGGTGAAGCCACTCCTGGGGTCACTCTGAAATGGAAGGGTCTGCATGTACCCTGGTTTGCCTGGAAACCCTGAGCTCGAGTTCCTCCATCCCAGTGTGCCGAAGGGGACTGCTAAGAACTGGGCCCATACACTCATTCATGGAGGAGGGTCCCCAGAAAGGCGGATCCTGCTAAGCTGCCAGAACAGACTTTTGGGAGGAGCGCTCCTTCTCTGAGACTCGTCCTCCGATGCCTCTGGGGCATGTCCTGGGAAACTTTCTGCTTGGTGGCCTTGGTCAAGGGTGTGCTGGAGTGGCCCCAAAATGGCTCTCACGATTATTATTAAATTTTCAGGAATGTGGAGAGTTGGTTGTTAAATACAGCCACAGAAGCTCATAGTTAAATGCATTGTATTAAAAACAGGTAATAAGTACCCCAAACTCATCACTTCCTGATTATTGGACTAGATTTCACTGAGCCCTAGGGGTTATTTGCAGCTAGGGACCTATCTGCGGGGAGTCACCCCGCACCTCTGCCCACTCGGGGTGCACTGCAGCCACCCTGGTAGCGGGAAATCAGCCGCGGTGCGGGGACTTCCACCACGGACACACACAATGCCTCAAGCAGGACCCTTGTTTTTCTTCAGAGAGCTCCTTTTCAGATATTTGCCAGGCTGATTGGGCAAGATGGTCCAACCAGTCTCTCTGCCACTTGGGAATTTGAAATTGGGGCCAAGAGTGAGACCTTGGGGTTGGGGGGGGCCCGAGAACTGCCCATCCCCCCCTTTGGGGGTCCAGGCAGAAAGGAGGAGACCGAGGAGGAGACAAGCCTGGGGGCCTCGCAGGTTCTGGCCCTGACCTTTCCAGGGCCCCTTGGGCCTTTTGGGTTCCTGCAAGGCCCTGATCAATGAATGGCGAGGCAGGTTTTCTGCAACCTCGTTTCTGGGGGAGAACTTTCGGCAAGTCCTGGCCAGGTAAAATGAAGGAGCTCTTCAGAGGTGGCGCACTCCTGTCTCTGCAGGCTTTGGGGGAGGCTGGATGCCCGGGGAATTCGAACATCACACCGGGGTGGGTGGGAGTGGATGAGCCTCCTCTGTGGACCCACCTCCACCCCAGGGGACATGGGGAGGGTCACCGACTGAGACCTGGGAGCTGGCGTTTGCCCATCTCTCCCCACCCCCGCCTCACCATGAAAATGGCAAGATGTCAGAGTTGAACCGCTGCTGGCTGGGTCATGCCACGTGCCCGTCTCCCTCCAACCTGCCAGGAATTAGGAGAGCCCTATCGGCACCAGAGACACTGCCTCTGCTGGACGTGGGCTCCCAGCCTGCTGGCTGCCTCTCATAGCTGGGTGCGCTCACCACCCTGGATTGGGATGAAGCTCAGAGAGGGTGGGAACCGGGCCGGAGGTCACACAGCGGTCAGCGGTGGAGCCCCTCACTCCAGACGGGGGTGCGGAGGAGGCCTGCTGACCTTCTCCCCCACCTCCCCCCAACTCCCCCCTCCTCCCCCACAGGTGGGGTTCATGAGTGGGGGGCTGAGGGTGAGGATGTCGCAGGGTCAAGGGAGTGCTGGGGCCGGGACCCGCTGCTGGGCAGCTCCCTGCA